TTGTCAGTGACAGCTTCTTAGTCCCTCAGAAAACATCTTGCTCTTATCCGGGGTAGGATATCATTCATCTCTTCATTTTGAAAATGAGATGGATGTACTGATCTGTCATTCCATAGCAGGAAGAGTGGGACTCCACTGTGGTTTGACCATTTCCCTTGCCTTCATCATTGGTTTATTTTTCTTGGTCTTTCTTTCCTTTAGATGTATCAGCTATAAAATGGGGACAATAATCTTATCTTTGAATTAATTTTCTAAAAAGGTTTTCTTGAGAAGTTGATGAGATCACACAAATGAAAGGACTTTGTAAACTCCAATGCTGTATAGACACTGAAATGACCTGGACTATTAACTGATCTATAATGCAGAAATCCAGGGTTACGGTCGACCCCAGCAATCACAAAATTGGAATGACAAGTAAAGTGGTACAGATCAGCTCCCCTGTTGCCAAGTTTGGCAAAAGAACCTCATCTCCAAACTCTCTGTCTGTTGATCATCTGACCTCTGAACATCTGCTATAATGGGGAACTCACTACCTGCTGATAAAATCTAGTTCATGCATGGAGTTTTCTGATTATATAAAAAAAAAATCTTTTTATGGCTAAGTTGGCATCAATCTCTCTATAGCTTCCAGAATTGGTTTGCAATTCTTGTTCCTGGTTCCAAAACATTATTAAGCTCTCCTTCCCTATAGTGTTCTTTCAGATGTGTGAAATCAGAGATTAAGTCTCTCCTGGGTTCTCTTATAATGAACGAAAACACCCAGTTCCTCTCATTTTTCTCTTAGCTCTCTGTTCCCAGGCTTCTTGCCATTCCAGAGATAGGAGCATTGATTTTCTTAACAAAATGGGAAGCAAAGACTCCAGTACCAGCAGTTGGGCAGGAGGGATAGCTGGCTCTCTGAACATTCAAGGTTATATAAGGAAAGGACATTTTTTAATCAAATGGAGCAGATTCAGGTAGCCCAGCACCTAGGTCTGTCAGTGCCTTGTGCACAGTCAGAACTAAATGGATAAATACTGTGAATGACTATACACACTGAAAGGTGGGTTCTCCACCGTGGATAGTTTTATTCCTCCAGAACATTGTACTTTTGTATCTTTCAATACTTTCTCAGATGCTATATCACTATAAAGGGACAAGAAAACTTTCAGTTTCTTCTTCAATCCTAAAATGTGTTGAATTCCACAGAAGTTTGCTTTGGAGCCTCAGATTTCAGATGCACATGACCAAATAGGGTGTGAAGGCACACTGGACACTGGACGAGAGAGGGTGTCTCCCAAGTCTAGCCCTCTGCTCTTTGCAGCTCTTCCATATCTCTTCTTGTGGTTACAAAACTTTTGGTTCACAGCAGAAATGAGGTCCCAAAGCAATGACAACAGGTGGGACCGGAGTCACGGATCCAAGCGGAAGAGACATTGGAGGTCAACCAGGCTTATCCAGCGCCTGATGACTGATCTCCTTTACAACACTGGATTTGGATTTGGCCACTATTTACTCAGCTGCTGTGATCTACCCGGGACTTTGCTAGATGCTTTCACACAGTCTTAATCCTCCTTTCACGATGTGGGGAAGGCATTATATTCCCTGGATTCAAGATGGAGGTATCTGATGTCAACAGGACATCAAGGATACTGATCTATCCTTGGTCCTCTTTTTATTTTCCAAGGAGATGTGTTTTATTGATTAAATTGAGAGGAGTCTAGGAAATTCACAGCAAAGGTTTCCAGACTGAATTCTTTGGAGTTGGCGGAGGTATTGCAGCAGATCTCTAAATCCACAGGTGTGCTTGAGATAGCCTAGAGTCTGAAAGATGGTTTGTTTTACTGACATGTACTCGTTCCTCAAATGTAAGTGGATGCTGTTGTGAGTAATCAATTATAAATTTTAAGACCATGCTACTAAAATCCCAGTATATTTTATCACCTTATAGCATGTTAATCATTAAAATTTTTCATTAATATACTTTACCTTTTGACCAGTTACTGGGTTACAGAAAAATTGAGCAGAAAATACAGAGTTCTGTACACCTCCCACCAGTTTCTACTATTATTAACTTCTTGCACTGATATAGTGTATGTGTTACAGATAATACGTCAACATTGATACATTATTAATGGAAAGTCATATTTTAAATTAAGGTTTACTCTTTGTGTCGTATAATTTATGGATTTTGATAAGTATACAATGACAATTGATAAGAATACAATGGTATTCACTACCACAGTATCAAACAGAATAGTATGATTCCCATAAAACATCCCTGAATGGTATTATGCTTAAAAAATTCCCAAGGCCGGGTTGCCGGTGCTGTGGCTTAGAGTGTAAAACTACTGCCTGCAGTGCCGGAATCCATATGGGCACCACTTTGAGTCCCGGCTGCTCCGCTTCCGATCCAGCTCTCAGCTATGGCCTGGGAAAGCAGTGGAAGATGGCCCAAGTGCTTGGGCCCATGCACCTGCATGGAAGACTCGGAAGAGGCTCCTGGCTCCTGGCTTCAGATGGGCACAGCTCCTGCTGTTGAAGCCATTTGAGGAGTGAACCAGCGGATAGAAGACCTCTTTTCTCTCTCTCGCTCTCTGCCTCTCCGTCTCTGTAACACTGCCTTCCAAATAAATAAGTCTTTTTAAAAAAATGCCCTGTGCTCTACCAATTAATCCCTCTCCTCTACCTCCTCCCCTGAACCACTAGTCTGTTAGTTGTATCCAGAGTTTTATCTTTTCCAATATATCATATAATTACAGTCATGAAGTATGTAGCATTTTAAGATTGTTTTTTCCACTTAGCAATATGCATTTAAAATTCCTTTCTGTTTATATCATGGGCCAACAGCTCAATTCTTTTCATCACTGGATAATATTCTATGGTATGGGTACAAGGGTTTGCTTATCTATTCATTATTGAAGGATATCTTGGTTGCTTCCAAATTTTAGTGATGATGAATAAGACCACAGCAAACACTCATATGTAGGTTTTTGTGTGAACATAAATTCTTAACTGATTTGGGTGAGTACCAAGAAATGTCATAGCTGAATTGTATAGTAAGAGTATGCTTAATTTTTTTTTAAATGTTATTGATTTATTTGAGAGGTAGAGTTACAGACAGTGAGAGGAAGAGACAGAGAGAAAGGTCTTCCTTCTGCTGATTCACTCCCCAGATGGCTGCAATGGCTAGAGCTGCGCTGATCCGAAGCCAGGAGCCAGGAGCTTCTTCCGGGTCTCCCATGTGGGTGCAGGAGCCCAAGGACTTGGGCCTTCTTCTACTGCATTCCCAGGCCACAGCTGGATTGGAAGAGGAGCAGCTGGACTAGAACCAGCGTCCATATGGGATGGCGGTGCTGCAGGTGGAGGATTAACCCACTGCACTATGGCCGGTCCCTCCAGTATCATCCTTTTTTCTTTTTCTTTTTTTTTTTTTTTACATTTCAAAATCATGCTGATTTACTTTACTTAGTATATTCTAAATTGATCCTCTGTGTATAAAGGTAATTGAAAATGAATCTTGATGCGAATGGAATGGGAGAGGGAGCAGGGGATGGGAGGGTTGCGGGTGGGAGGGAAGTTATGGGGGGGGAAAAGCCATTGTAATCCATAAGCTGTACTTTGGAAATTTATATTTATTAAATAAAAGTTTAAAAAAAGACAAATAAAAAATCATGCTGATTTAATCAAATGTAGAATTAGGGATCGCTAGTTTTTTTGTTTGTTTGTTTTTTAGGAAACTTTTATTTAATATATCTAAAATTCAAAAGTACAATTTTTGGATTATAGCAGCTTTCCCCCCATAACCACCCTCCCACCCATAAACCATCCCATCTCCTACTCCCTCTCCCATCCCATTCTTCATTAAAATTCATTTTTAATTATCTTTATATACAGAAGATCAACTTAGTATATACTAAGGAAAGATTTCAACAGTTTGAGTGTGCTTAATTTTGTAAGAAACTGCCAAACTAGGGCTGGTGCCATGGTTAATCCTCTGCCTGCAGTGCTGGCATCCTATATGGATGCCGGTTCTAGTCCAGCTGCTCTTCTTCCAATCCAGCTGTGGCCTGGGAATGCAGTAGAAGATGGCCCAAGTCCTTGGGCTCCTGCACCCACATGGGAGACCCAGAAGAAGCTCCTGACTCCTGGCTTCGGATCAGCGCAGCTCTAGCCATTGCAGCCATCTGGGGAGTGAATCAGCAGAAGGAAGACCTTTCTCTCTGTCTCTTCCTCTCACTGTCTGTAACTCTACCTCTCAAATAAATAACTAAAATTAAAAAAAAAAAAGAAATGGCCAAACTGTCTTCCGAAGTATCTATTCCCTTTCGCATTTCCACCAACAGTGAGTGGGAGTTCCTGTTACTCCACACCCTCATTAGCATTTGGTGTTGTCATTATTTTAGTTTTCTCTATATTAGTAAGTGCATGGAATTATATTACATTGTTTTAATTTGCAATTCCCTAAGGACATTATGATGTTTAGCATCTTTTCTTATCATTATTTACCATTGGTGAGGATTGTGTACAGACCTTTTGCTTATCTTTTAATAGGGTTGATTGTTTTCTTATTTCTTGGTCTTAGGAGTTCTTTGTATATTTTGAATATCAGTCCTTTATCATGTTATTTGTTTTGCAACTATTTTTGCTCAATTTGTCTTTTATCTTTTCACTCTTCTAACAGTCTTTCATAGACTATAAATTTTTCAACTGATCAATTCTTTCTTTCATGGATTGTGTTCTTTGCTTTGTTTCTAAGAAGTCATAAACAAACCAAATGTCATCAAGATGTTCTCCTATGTTATCTTCCAGGAATTTTATAGTTTTGTGTTTACATCTAAACTTGTTTCCCTACTGAAGTAATTTTTGGGAAATGTGTAGGATCTATGTCTTGACTGATTTTTTTTACACATGAGTGTCCAATTATTATAGCACCATTTGTTGAAAAGACTATCCTTCTTCCAATAAATTGTCTTTTTTCCTTTGTCAAAGATCTGATTCTTCTAATTTGATCCCTGCAGGATGGCTCCCACAAAGCAGAAAGGTGAGAAGAGCTCTCTTGCTATCAATGAAGTGGTGACCCCAGAACATGTGCTCAACATACTGAAGTGCATCTATGGAGAACAGGGCAGGTGATTGACCTAGGAATTTAAGCTGTCACTTGGAATGCCCACCTCCTGTATCAGAGTACCTGCAATGGAAGCCTGCCTCCACTTCCTGTCTGGCTTCCTGCTAAAGCACCTGTGAGGCTCAGTGAGTGGCTAAAGTATTTGAGTCCCTGCCACTCATGTGGAAAATCTGGATGGAATTTCTGGCTCCAGCCTGGCCTAGCTCCTGCTGTTACAGATATTTGTGGAGTGGACCAGCAGATGGAAGCTCCCTGTCACTTTCAAATGATAAAAATAAGTAAATAAACATTGAAGACAAACAAGCATGCCCTTCAGACATTCAAAGAGATCCAGAAATTTGCCAGGGAGGATATGGGGACTTTAGAAGTGCACGTTGATATCAGGCTCACAAAGCTTCTGAACCAAAAGAGGAAGAAATGTCTCACCATATCCATGCGTAACTATCCAGAAAATGTAATGGGGATGAAGATTCACCTAACAAGCTCTGACTATGGTTACCTAAGTACCCACCACCACTTTCAAAAGCCTACAGATATTCAATGAGGATGAAAACATACCACTGATTGTCAAATAATTTAACAAAACTGGAAAAAAATTCAGTTGACTCTAGTCATGTGGGTCTATTTCTGGGCTCTGCATTTTGCTCCTTTGATTTATTTTTTGTCTTTTCGTTCGCCTGTGCTGAAGTGCCTTGGTTACTGTAGCCTTCCAATAATTTTTACAGATGGGCAGTGTCAACGCTCCAATTTTGTTCTTTAATAACATGTTGGCTGCTCCGGGTCTTTCGTTTATCCATATCAACTTTAGAATCAGTTTGTTGACATCTATGAAATAATTTGCTGGGATTTTGGATGGGGTCATGTTGAAGCTACAGATCGAATTGACTTCCTGATAATGTTGCATTTTCCTATTCATATACATGGACTATCTCTCCATTAATTTAATTATCCTCCATTGATTCCACTTGGCAAGTTTGGCAGTTGTCCTAATGCTGATCATGAGAATTTTTGTCATTTGGTACCTAATTATTTCATTTTTGCAGTGCTAATATAAATGATCCTTAGAGTTTTTAAAGTGTAGGCAGTATTACGGGGCAGGTCTATGATATTTTTCAGATTAAAACCTAAAAATTGAGAAACTGCTGTCTTACGTAATATTGAACCTGAAGCATCTAGTGGTAGAGGGGCACTCAATGGGGTCATTGTGGCAATGTCGCGTGTGGCAGAAGAAAGCCATTTGCAGCTTAGACTGTACGAAGGAAATAACTTTTCCAATCCCAAAGAATTTTAAACTCTTCTTCCTTGCCACACCTTCCATGCAGGGAAGGGGGCAACAAAGGAGCAGTCTGTGCTCAGCATGCATATTCAGGGCATGGAGACTGCTTGCATCATCCAAGCACTCTGTTTCTTTAGCAGAGATAAAGACAGGGTTCTTGCCATAGCCTTCCGGCCTGAAATGCTCTGAGCTCTGAAGCCATACAATCAGCCTCTCCTCTGCCTGGTCACACTGGCTTGACATATACTTCTTCCTCGGGGCCTTTGCAAATAACTCTTTCTTACCCTCATTGGCCAACCCCACAGATCACTTTCTTCATCTTTCCAGGACAGACCTCGCAGAGCTCTGTCTACCTGTGAGCACTTGTCGGATTGTGTTTTGCATTTATTTACATGATTAGCTGACGACCAGGCTGTAAGTTCCACAGAGGCAGGCATCAGGTCACTTTTGCCCACCATGCGGTCCCCTTGCCAGACTTATAGAGTGAGTAGATGATTGATTGGCTATCCTACAGAAACATGAACTCCATATTTTTTACATGAGAGAATGAGGCCACTCAGTGCCTCATGGCTATCATCTTAGAGAACTCTTCTTGGTATTGTGATATGTATAGACAACAAGTCTGAGTGAGTCCACACCCAATGTAATCAATATTCTAGGTTTCCAGAGTAGTGAAACTGATCCGGTAGCTTCCTTTCCACATGTTTGAATGAAGCTTGTACAGTGTGGGTCAATATCAATTCCCATTTGAAAATTTATTTAGCAAACACTTATTGTCCATATACTGTGTGTTAAATGAGAGTCCTGTATGGAAGTTCTCAGTCACAATCCCCCTGTAGAAGGTTGGTGTCGGGGGTGGAGCCGCATTTGGGCAGGGGTCAGGGGCTGTAAATTGTTGTTTGGGACCCAATCTAGTCTGTATTTTTTTTTTTTTCTTCTTGGATGCACAAGGCATTCTGAATCTTTTTGACCCACATAACTCAGGCGGGTTCTGCACATTTTGTCCCTTGAGCCTCCTGCCACTCCCTACTGCCCCACACCTGGCGTAGAATTTATTGCGGTTTTACTGCCTGCTTGGCCCCTAGGTGTATCCAGTTTCTGACCCTTGGTTGGGTCCAGTCCTCTGGGATCAGAGGCTGATGGGAGAGATAGACTGTTTTTCACATTCCTGCTTTGTCTAGGAAACTGAGGGAGGCACATGGTTGGATCAGCCCTGGTGCCCAAGAACTCCGAGTGCAGTCAAGGAGGTGATATCCACATAAACGAGCAGAGTCCTGTGTCCCCCAGCAGCAGCTAAAGCAGCTGTGAAAACAGACTGGAACATGTGCCTCTGCGTCCTTGTTCTTGCTCATGGCACAGCAGAGACCACATAGGCGTTTCATTTGCCCTCATTCAGAGACATTAATGGTGACTCTGTTGCTGCGTGATCCTGGACAAGGCACTGCAGCTTCAACTCTTGAAGTTGATATTCGAGATGAAAGTATTGTGAAGCTTAAAAAATACTGCACACAAACGATTGGTGTAAGATATCATTTAGAAGAGACAATCATTTAACGGTGAGTTCAAATTCTGCTTTATGGAGACTGTTGCAGAATATTTTTGCCAGTAGGAAGCTCAGTAGGGGATCAGGCGATCCTCGTCTTTGCCTAGCCACCAGCTGCCCAGAACATTTTGTGCCGGCAACAGGTCTGGCCATGTGACTGCTTCTCCTTCTTGGCTGTTCCCACTGGCAGGCAGTGAATAGCAAGAGACACCCTCCATAATGCTGAGACCTTTTCCCATGGAGCACAGCGGGAAGAATGCTCTGTGTCTTTGCAAGGCCTGGCCCTCTTCTGGAGCCAGTTCCGCCGGAGACACAGAGAACCGAATTGTTTTATGTTCTTCAGGTCCCTCTTTGGTGGCCACTAAAACCCTCCTTTACCGTAGTGAGTCAAAGGCTTTGACAAGTCAGCGTCTGACAGTCTCACCGGTTGCAGGTGTACTCAGAGTGGCAAGCTTACAGACTGAGAGAGCGTCAAAGCAGGGAGGTGCCCCGGGCTTATTTGTCCAACTCCATTGCTTTGGAGCTGCAGGATTGGGTTCCAAAGAGACAAACATAGAATTCCTGCCTTCTGCCCTGACACCATGCAGCCTTCCATGTGTGGAAAGAAATGTTGAGCACAGATGTGTGGTCTGTACATGGTTCCACTAGTGTCAATTATTACATGGGATAGAACATCAGACTTGGCCCAAAATAGTGTGCGGTAGGGGGTGGGCAGTGACCAGTGACGTGGTAGCTCATATAACTGAGAGGCCAGGAGGACGCCTGGCTTGGGCGTGCTTTGTTTGTGCTTATCCTCCTTCCATGCCCTATGCCTCTTTCTTTAGAGCACCCCCATCCTGAACCTCTTCTTCTCTCAGAAGTTTCTGGGGCTACTTCCTTTTGGGATCATAGGCCAGGGGCAACCAGGAAGTTCTCTGTCTCCGCCTTCTCTGCAAAAATCTCAAAAGTTCACTCTGACTGGACTTCTCGTGTTACGTGCCATCCTGCGAACCAATCCCTGGGGCTGTGGGCTGCAACATGCCCAGTGACGTATGCCTGGGTCACACCCTCCATTCCGTGGCTTTGGGGTGGGACCTGCTCAGACCCTGTGGGTTGACATTGGGTTGCTATGACAAAAGGGGTATAGAGTTCTCTGGCCAAAAAATGAAAAATATCCTCTGCCCCTCGTCAGGGCTTCTGTGTCTGATAATAAATTCTTTGCGTCTGGTTCTTCAGATGTCCCATCTTCCCAAATTAGGGATTGCTTTGCTGTCTAGCAAGCAGTGCAATTGTGACAGGAGAAATTAACTGGCAGCTGGAGCATCCCTGGGTTCAGGTAGCATGACATCCCACTGTTGATCTGTTAACCCAGGTCTGTTCTGAGTGTGCTTCTACTAAATAAAAAATGAGACAAGAAAGCAAATAAACAAAGCTGGAAAGGCCTACTCTTTCAGAATGCTGAGGAAGTCTGACTAAACACATCCTAACATACATCAGGCGCTATTGCAACTGGAAATATGAGGGGTTTTCAAAAAGTTCATGGAATTGCCCCAGTTGCCCCTCTTCCAGGCCAGCTCTCTGCTATGGCCCAGGAGTGCAGTGGAGGATGGCCCAAGTGTTTGGGCCCTGCACCCCATGGGAGACCAGGAAAAGCACCTGGCTCCTGCCTTCGGATCAGCGCGATGCGCCAGGCCACAGCGTGCCGGCCGCGGTGGCCATTGGAGGGTGAACCAACGGCAAAAAGGAAGACCTTTCTCTCTGTCTCTGTCTCTCTCACTGTCTACTCTGTCAAAAATAAAAAAATAAAAATAAAAAAAAGGAAAAAAATTTCATGGAATTGCATATTATGAGAAACTATATATAGATTTCAAAATGTTTTTGTTTTGCACCCGGGGCTGTGATGTAGTAGGTTAAGTTGCTGCCTGCTGTGCCAGCATCCCATGTGGGTACCAGTTAGAGTCCTAGCTTGCCCACTTTCAATCTAGCTCCCTAATAATGGGCCTGGGAAAGCAGCAGAATATGGTTCAATCCTTGGGCCCCTGCACCCACATGGGAAATTTTCATGAAGCTCCTGGCTCCTGGTTTCAGCCTGGCCCAGCTCTGGCCAATTTGGCCATTTGGGGAGTGGACCAGCAGATGGATGGGAGAGTCTCTCTCTTTCTTTCTCTCTGTAACTCTGCCTTTCAAATAAATAGATAAAATTTTTTAAAAAATTTTTTGCACTAAAATAAACATCTTTTTAAGCAAATGGTATTTAAAAATATTTATTGACTTAAAGAGTAGAGAGACAGAAACACACACACATAGAAAGAGCTCTCATTCTCTAGTTTACCCTTCAGATGTCTGTGCAGCCAGGACTGGGCCAAGCTGAAGCCGGGAGCCAGGAACTCCATCTAAGTCTCCACGTGGGTGGTAGGGACCCAGTTACTTGAGCCATCACCACAGCTTCCCAGGATCTGCATTAGCAAAATCCCAAAGTTCGCTATCTGTTTAGGAAGCACATTCATGACAACCACTTCATACTATGGATGAAGACACAGGACTGCATATCCTCATTTTCCAGACAGGAAAGTGAGGCTGAAAGGGCTGAGCAACTTGCCAGAGGTCGCTCAGGTTGTCAGCCCAGACCTCAGAAGCCAACTAGCACTTTGTCTTCCTGCTATATTGTGCTTCTTGTAGAGAAGGGCAGCACACGTTAGCTATTAATGTGTTTGATTATTTCCCACTTGAAAGGGAAACATCATATTCAAAATGCAAATTAACATTGACAGTGCACATTATTTTTACTAGCAGATTAGTAAAAATTCAACAGGGTTGATGATACCAAATTTTAGCAAAAGCGTAAAAACAAGTCATTTTGTATACTGTTGATGGCTCTGCCAATCGGTACAATGTCTTTGCAGTCAAATTTGGTAACAATCTTAGAATGCAAAATATATCCTTTTTGTTTGTTTGTTTCTAAGAAGGCACATACAAAAATGCTCACTGTACCCTTGTTTGTAATAAAGGAAACAATAGAGACCACTTAAAGTCCCATTCACAGGGAGATGGTTTCACTGTGGTCTGGTAATACTGTGGAGAGCCAAGCTTCATGCAGGGAGTCCATTTGCAGCAGCTAAATACCAGATCTCTGCTGTGTGTTAACAAATATATCCACTATATATATATATACATATATATATACACTATTAGACCATTGATAGAAAAAATCTGCAATATTTCTCTATGCATATAAATTCACTGCATGGAGTGAAATCCCAAATTAGAAACACTGGAGGTAGGGTTAGGGCCAAGGATGAGAAGAGGTGAGAGCTAGTGGGGAATAGGGTGGAGGCTGGGTCAGGAGATGGGCACCATGGGAATGTTTGCTTTTAGATATTTGATTTTTTTTATTGTAAGCTTGTATTCATGTTCTGTTTGTATAACTCAAAATAGTAAAACATGACATCACATGAGCATGCTAGTAGAAGTTAATAAGCTATTTGAATTAATGAATGTTTTATTGATCGCCAAGTTTAGATGGGAAAATGCTGAATGCTGACTCCTTTTGAATTTTCTGATGATACCAAATACTTAGCAAGACTACTCAGTACCAGGAAGCCTTCCCTCATCTGGTAAATTTGTAGATCTGTAGGACTTCGCTGCTACAAGGAAGTTAGACATCACTGGTATTCACCTGCAGAAACGCAGGTCATTGAGGACTTTGCTAGTTCTTTCCCAGGTGACCCATTTGGAGTCAGATAAGGGCCACATGCCTGGAACTCTCTTAATGTCTGAGGTTTTCCTTCTGTAGTATAAGGAGATAGTCATAATATTTCCTTTCCTGCTTTCTTATAAGAATCAAATCAGCCAGTGATTATGAAATTACTCAGGAGCTGTCAAACATGATAAAAATGATAGAGGGTGATGTCATTGTTCTTGTTTCCATTTTTCTGAGCCTGCAAGTACTGAAATGATTTGCCCAAGGACAGTCTGGGCTCAGTCTTTGTCATAGTCCTGGTAGCACACTGGAATAATGCCCATGTTGCAGTGTCCACAAACGGTGCCTGTGCCCACTTCCCCTCCCATGCAGAGTTCTGTGAAGTCAGAGGCCAGAACCTAGCCACCTCCTTAGCCCAGCACCCATCTAATGTTTAGAAGGCCTTCAGGGAGCATGAGTTCTTATTAACATTTTCCGCATTCAGTTTCTTCTCTAAACAAAGAGCATACGGTGCATTGCTAGATTTCAGCTCCAAGGATCTGTGATTTTAAGATCCAAGTCTTCCCTACAGCAGCGCTCATCATCTTTAGCCAGATAGATAATTGCCTCCCCTGAAATCCTCCAAAACTTGGGAAATTCAATGAGGTGGGAAGCTGAAGGCTCAGCCAATCCTTTCATGTGGGGTGAGTCAGGAGGTTTCTGCAGGAACCTCCACTGTGATGTCCTTGGTTGATGTGGGCTTGGAAGAAGTAACACCTTGTACTTATGCAGCCTCTTGCTCCTGAGGCGCTCAGAGGGCTTCCCAGACATTATCTCACATCATCTTTGAAGGGTGACTGAGGACAACACTCATTATCATTTGCTGGTACTCCCTGCACCAAAGGGATGAGCTGTTTTCCCATAACCATCGGTGGCAGCATCATAACCAGGACCCATACTTCTAGGCTTCCAGCCTGCTCTTTGCCCCATGCAGCTTTCAGGACCAATTGTTGCCTCACGGAGAAGAGGAAATTCATGGTCACTGTTGTAATGGCCGGAGACTTTTGCTGGGGATCCCTGGAAAAGATGACTCCTTGTTCCTGTCCCAGACTCAAGAAATTGATTATGTATGAACTGATTACAACCTATTGCAGAGGACTTAATCAACCTGCTCCATCATAGGCTCAGTGTCATGCCCCAGGAATGCAACATCAGAGACTTTAGTTGGACCACCCAACTCAGTTCTTGGATATTTCCTAAGTGATGATGAAATTGGGAGACTAGTCAGGGAGTTAGCTGGACTTTCTGCCAGTCCTGGAAGGTAACTTTATCCCTTTATCTGCCAATCTCATAAGTTCAGTTTCCTATGATGCACCTGTATCTTAATGGGGACCAAGAAGGAGGAGATGTCATGATGGCCTTGTGGAAGTTAAACTCCTTGTGGGGGTGCCATAAAAATCCCAGAAACTCTCATGCACATTAAACTCCACCCCATTTGTATATATATTCAATGAAGGCACCACCCCCTATCTCATAAAAGCGACTGATAATATGGGAAGGCCCTAGCTTTTGCTCTTGACCATGCTGGAGGATCCTCCTCGGGCCTTCTGTGGCCCAGTGGTGATGGTATCTTTCCTTGTGGGGTAGTCCACGCTTATGCACTCTTTCCCTTTTAAAGAAATCCTGCTCTCACTTGTGCACTGTATTCATGCTTCTGCTTTGAATTCTTATCTCTGTGGGGGCAAGAACCTGGAATAAAGACTAAGATACTAGGCTCATAGCAATCAGATTAACACTGTGGAGACAAGGGAAAAGTACTGGCCTTGCAGCGAGGAGATCTGGTTTTGATTTAAACATTGCATATTCTGGACCTGTGTGCAATTAGGAAAATTACTTAATCTCTTTGTTCTTGAACTTCCCCTTTCATGAAGATGGGAAATATCTGCCTCACTGGTTTATTACACAGAGAAAATGAGAGACTAAGCCATATTCATGCAAGTATTTGGGATCCTTGATAGTGCCGAGCCATGATATTTCTTGGATATTAACTTCAACAAAGATTTGGGAAAATTAATTTTATAATGTAGATATAAAGAAGCATGCTAACACTGAGTAAAATTGAAAGGTACAACTTTTAAAGATGAGTTTCACCTTGTCCTGGAGTAGGAGAAGGGGCATGATTTAACTCTACTTCCAATCACACAGGATAGGGTGTCACTTTTCCATACCATTAGGAAGAGGAAGTATATAAGAAGTATAACAGAATGACCCCTTTCTTCGATGTTTCTGAGTGACATTCTTACTTCAGTTTTGGTCACCTAGATGGTATTAGTGCAGGTTCCTGTAGCAATGACTTCACAACTTCTTAGTATATGTCCTCATGTTTGTCAAGTGTCTAATATAATAAATGGTTATTTGGAGCATGATTCTACATTGACTGAAAAAGTGAAGATCTGACCCTTTAGGTTACTCAGCACCTCTTACATAAAGACACAGGAAATAAAGGTCTCTCAAATTTTCTGCTTTTTGGTGTTGTGGCATAGTAGGTTAAGCCACTGCTTGCGAAGCTGGCATCCGATACGTGCACCGGGTTGAGTACTGGCTGCTCCATTTCCGATCCAGCTCCCTGCTGATGCACCTGAGATGCAGTGGAGGATGACCCAAGTGCTTGGCCTCTTCTACCCCGATATGAAACTTGGAGTAAGCTTCTGGCTTCTAGCTTTGGTCCGGCCCAGCCTTGGCCACTGAGGCCATTTGGGGAGTGAACCAGAGATGGAAATCTCTCTCCCTGTGTGTATGTGTGTGTGTGTCTTCCTTTCTCTAACTCTGCCTTTGAGATAAATACAAATAAATCTTAAAAAATAATTCTGCCCCATAGAACGTTTTCTCTTTTTAAAACTGGATATGGGTACCTTTGATCACACAATAAAGGTCAGGTATGTCCTTGCTTTTCCATTTTTGCCTTGCCAGTCAGGGGGCTTGGTGCTGTCTTTTGTTTACTAACAAGCCTATTAGAGGTCTCTGGTGTGATTTCTTGTCTTTCTTGCACAGTGGCAGGTCCGCATATATAACCATCAGATGCTTTTACTGTAAGTCTCCTACTGGTTTCTCTATTTTGATGTTAGAAACAGGTGGGATATCGATGATAAGGAAATCAATTCTGAGATAGTTTTATTCTGAAGCAAGTGTAAGAGGTGCTGCTAACTCTCCCAGAAGTGAGGCCTGAGGCAAGCTTGGGAGGGAGCCTGGATTTGCATCTGGGACCTTAAAACCACCCAAGTGGACAAGCCATGTGTAGGAAGGGCATTGCCACTTCACAATGCCCTGTTCCTCCACTCCTGCTCCCCAAAAGGGTCCTGCCTACCCTGTTGTTCCACAGCAATTACAGGCCAAGGGAGAGCAGAGAGGAAGGCCATTGGCCATCACCTTCCCATCCCCAGTGCTACTGCACACTACTGGGCATTGGCAAAAGGCTTATCAGACTTTTCCACCTGCATATTCCTGATGGCTGGGCAAGGTGAGATTCAGAGGTAGAGCATCAGTCACATCTTGCATTTTGTACCACCCCGTAGTCCTAGGAGTATAACCCCTGGGGCTATGGTCTGCTCTGCAGATGAAGAACCAGTCAAGAGGCAAGGAAGAACCTAGAAGCAGGCTTTGGGCCACTGGCAGTGGGCATTTCAATATCTCAAGTGCCCAAGTGGATCTGGAAGGGGGAAGTGGGTTACAGGTACAGAAATTCATGAGGCCCAGGGACTTCTCTCCTTATGGCTGAGAGGCACGGGGCTAGAGCAGCGATGGCAGTTTCTCAGGTCTGGAAAGGCAGCCCGTGTCATCAGGACCAGCCTGATCCATTCCCCTTCAGTCAGGGAACCCTGGAGCAGAAGCTGGAAGCAATCATGGTGGCCAATTGCCTCCCTTCTCCTTTCAAAGGCAGGGATATTGAAGACTAGAGAGGCGATTGAATTGCTCGATTCCCTTAGATTATATTCTAAATATGTGTAGCAAATCCTCCAAGGATGGGGTCATAGTAAGGAGAAAAAGAGAGGGGGAGGGAGAGAATGTGATGCAATGGGAAGAACACGGCCAGATCCACTGAGCTTAACACACCTGTGA